CTGCAGCGGTACTAGTGATAGTCCCATGTAAGACTGGATGAGCCAGATAAGCGATAATAGAAGTGCCGCGATACAGAAGATTTCGAAAGGTTTGGGAGGAGGCGGTGTATACCGGGTGATGAGGTGGACAAGTTTGCTCATCAAAACCTATTGCGTAGAATATCAATCAACAATGGCTTGTCCGAAAACTTTTGACACCCTCTGTATGTCTGCTCTTCTTATCATCTCATAAATGGCTATACAGAGCTTATAGATCAGATTATCACTTGTAAAGCTGCCGTAGCTTGGGAAGCCGGTATGCTGTTCAATGATCCTTCCTTTCCCCCTCCTCTCAGTAACTCAATTTCATTCCTCCAACTCCTCCTTCGTCACCTCGATCATGGTGCTTATCTCTTCATATGTGATTGAAATACTCATGACCTAGGAAAACCACTTTCTATAGAAGATGTAGAGGTCGCTCCGCCGCAAGCAGGAGAAGTAAGGATCAAAATTCTCTAGTGAGTTCCTTTCTTTCCCGTCACCTCATCCCTCTTTCACTCCACTACAACAATCCTACCTGTGGTCTTCTCTCTTCTCATACTTTCGTTTGATCCCTTTGTGTCTCGGAAGTAGCATAGTGTAATTACTGACAGAAAGCACCGGTATTTGTCATACGTTGGTCCTTCTTCAAACCCCCCTTTGCAGGCACCTCTCAACTAAAGTCATGGCACGCAGGATACGCAACGAGCAGTGCTGAAATCATAGAGATGCATACACTCTCTCTGGAAAAGACCCCGAAGGCGCTTTTCCCGTCATTCTCGGACATGAAGGTGGAGGTATTGTTGAGAGTATAGGAGAAGGAGTGGACAATGTCAAAGTTGGGGATCATGTCATTCCTCTTTATACCGCTGGTAAGTTTGACTTGACTGTTCTTGTTCCTCCCATTCACCATCGTTTATTTCAGTAGAATCTGGCCACTGCCGCTTGGAAATGAGCTGCGGCATTCTTTCATCATTTCGAGAAGGTTATTCATCTTAGAGGCGTTCAGAGGAGAGGTTAGACAATGGAGCGTTCGCGTTGACAGCCAGAATGCCGGGAATGCAAGTTTTGTAAGTCTGGAAAGACTAATCTCTGCGGAAGGGTGAGGACCACGCAAGGAAAGGGAGTGATGCCCGATGGGACGACCAGATTCAAATGTAAAGGGCAGGACATTTTGCATTTTGTGCGTATTCATCTCTGTACACTATCTGAGACTACCATACTCACAACCCGTACTTCAACATCGTCACGATGCCTCTCTCTGTACTTTACCCCGCCTTCTTTCGTTCAGCTTCCTAGACAAGTCTGTTGCATCCCCGTATCGTTCACCATATTCCGAGGGGGAACGCGAGCGAGGGACACTAATGCTTCCAGATGGGCACATCCACCTTCTCACAATATACCGTCGTATCGAAATTCTCTGTGGTAGCTATCAACCCCAAAGCGCCTTTGGAGAAAGCTTGTCTGCTAGGTTGTGGGATCACTACCGGGTACGGAGCTTTGACCAAAACGCCGGGTATAGGTGAGTGAACTTTCTTTCAACATATCTTCGTCATTGGACTCGGACACCTCTTCCTACCTCAAAACCACCTGAACCTTTGCAGAGAAGCCTAGCCACAGGCCGGTCCCCACTCCTCCACCCCCGTAGTATACAAGAGGAAGTCGTGGGTGAAGTGAGAGAAAATGATTCATGTTGACATGTTGCTCACCCTCACAGAGGACTCAATTGTTGCTGTATTCGGTATCGGTTGCGTTGGATTGTCCATCCTTCAGGGTTGCAAGGCCAAACGTTGCAAGCGGGTCTTCGCGGTAGACACGAATCCAAAGAAAGAAGAATGGGCCAAGAAATTCGGTGCGAGTGAGTAATTCTTGTCTTCTCTGTCTTTCTGCCTGGCTTGGAGTCCCACCACTAGTCGACAAGGAGAATTATAAGCTTCGACCCGTCCTTGATTCGTTTCGTTTCGGTGATGTCCTTCCACTGATTCCCAGCCGATTTTGTCAACCCCAAAGACCTCCCTGATGGCAAAACAATCACTCAATATCTTATCGACGAGACTGACGGAGGGTGTGACTTCACCTATGACGCTACGGGTAATGTGGACGTGATGCGATCTGCTTTAGAGGCATGTCATAAAGGTTGGGGCGTGTCAACCATCATTGGCGTTGCTCCTGCCGGCGCGGAGATTTCTACCAGACCGTGCGTCTAGTTTCTCCATCACTACTAGACCATTTTCGTCTTTCTCCCGGACTTCCCCTACATCCATCATATGATCCGTTCTACGACCTTGCTGTCTCCTCGTCTCCTTGTGGTGAATACCGCTTGTATCTCAAGGTTTCTCACCACTTGTGTCTGTACATGTGGCTCAGGTGGGGGGGGGGGGGGGGGGGGGGGG